AATATGAAGCATGTATTATGGGTCTCGAAGAAGCGGTGGATCTAAGGATTAAGATTCTGGATATTTACGGAGATTCGGCACTGGTGATTAATCAAATCAAAGGAGAATGGGAAACTCGCCATCCTGGTTTGATCCCTTACAGAGACTATGCTAGAAGGTTGTTAACCTTCTTCAACAAGGTGGAATTACATCATATCCCTAGGGATGAGAATCAAATGGCTGATGCTTTGGCTACCTTGTCTTCAATGTTTCAAGTGAATGATTGGAATGATGTGCCTACGATCCGGGTTATGCGCCTCGACAGACCTGCTCATGTGTTCTCAGTGGAAGAGGTCACCGACGACAAACCTTGGTTCTATGACATCAAGCGTGTTCTTCAAACTCAAGAGTACCCGCCTGGGGCATCCAATAAGGATAGGAAGACGTTGAGAAGATTAGCAAGCAGTTTCTTTCTGAATGAAGAAGTGTTGTATAAGAGGAATTACGACATGGTCTTGCTCAGATGTGTAGACAGACGTGAAGCAGACACGCTGATGCAAGAAGTGCACGAAGGATCCTTTGGCACTCACGCCAATGGACATGCAATGGCTAGAAAGATGTTGAGAGCTGGTTACTACTGGATGACAATGGAATCTGATTGCTGCAAGTATGTGAAGAAGTGTCATAAATGCCAGATTTATGCGGACAAGATGCACGTGCCGCCAACCCTCCTCAATGTTATATCTTCACCTTGACCTTTCTCTATGTGGGGCATTGATATGATTGGGATGATCGAACCCAAGGCTTCAAATGGTCATCGTTTCATCTTGGTAGCGATCGATTATTTTACTAAATAGGTGGAAGCAGCATCTTATGCTAATGTAACCAGACAGGTGGTAGTCAGATTTATCAAGAATCAGATCATTTGTCGATACGGTATCCCGAGCAAGATCATCACTGATAATGGTTCGAATTTGAATAACAAGATGATGAAGGAGATTTGTGAAGAGTTCAAAATCGAACATCATAATTCCTCTCCTTACAGACCGAAGATGAATGGGGCTGTTGAAGCTGCTAACAAGAACATCAAGAAGATTATCCAGAAGATGGTAGTAACTTATAAGGATTGGCATGAAATGCTTCCGTTTGCTTTACACGGGTACCGTACTTCAGTTCGAACATCAACAGGTGCAACTCCATTTTCCCTAGTTTATGGTATGGAAGCTGTACTCCCCGTGGAAGTTGAGATTCCGTCTCTGAGAGTGTTGATGGAAGCTAAACTTTCTGAGGCCAAATGGTGTCAAAGTAGATATGATCAGTTGAATTTAATCGAAGAGAAGAGATTGACAGCTTTGTGTCACGGTCAATTGTATCAGCAGAGGATGAAGAAGGCTTTTGATAAGAAGGTTCGACCGCGCGAGTTCAGAGAAGGTGACCTTGTACTCAAGAAAATATTATCTTTCCAACCTGATTCTAGGGGCAAGTGGGCTCCGAATTATGAAGGACCGTATGTTGTTAAGAAAGTTTTCTCTGGAGGTGCCATGATTCTCACCAATATGGATGGTGAAGATCTTCCGCGTCCCATGAACGCCGATGCAGTCAAGAAGTATTTCGCTTAGGCAAATTTCTGGTCAAATCGGTCTCGGCATCTGAGCACATTCTGGAATTCAAAGTTGTTAGGGAGAATAGCGATCATTGTTTTTGAATGACCTTTTATTTCATGTACTATTTCCCCAAGCTTTTGTAAACCGTTGGAGTCGCATTGTTAGCGAACTACCATCTTATTAATGAAATTTGAGCATTCACCTTTTGTGGGCAAAATTTTAATTTTATGGAAATACTTGAAACAAATTTACTTAAAATGTTCTTATTTTAAAAAATGTGTCGTGAATAACGAAAGAAATATTAACAGTTTGTTCCAAGGATGGTCAAGCCATGAAATGCAAAGCAGTACAATAGTTTATCCTTGCATGATGAGCATGTTTCGTTTCAGAATCGTCATGAGGTGTTGGTTGTGTAAACTTGTGTTTTTTTTCGGGGTACTAAGTTTGGTGACTCCCCAGCTGTCCCAGTTAAGCATTGTTTTGGCTATCTCTATTTGGGCGATTTCTGAAGTTTTGTACGCTTTGTCTCATACTGTGGTCTATTGGTGTTAGAATTTTGGATTTGGATGCTTTTCTCCTCAGAAGACTTGAGCCTTGTAGCGTGATACCCTCCGACGTTGCTTTGTGTCTCCAGTTCCATTTATCTTCCGTCTTTTCAAGATTGGCCGAGTATCTATCTTGCTGTGACATCTTATTATCTTGAAGATATTCCATCTGTCTGTTTTGTCAGCATAGTATTCATTTACTCATTTACACTCATATCAGCATGCATATCCACATTTGCCGTTGATTTTGGGTCGTACTTTGTTTATTCAAATAAACGTACATATGTTCTTTCCAGGTAGAAAGTTAGCTTAGGCAGAAAACGTGCTTCCTTTCTAAATTCCCCAACTGAGCTAACCCTCGTGGATGATTTTTGATTCAGCTTACCTTGTCCATTTCTGGATAGGATGAATTCCCCAATCGAGTTACTTTCTCATTGGGTGGAGTCTTGTTTGACCGTTTTCTCTCTAGGTTATTCCTGGATGAAGTTGTTGCCCCTTGCGTAGGCTATTTCTTTGATTCTCCCCAGTAAGTTCGCGACCTAGACGGCTGGTGCATTTATGTTGCACCTTTAAGTAGGTGATCTCCTCGGGAAGGATTGATTCATGGTTCTCTTTGACGAGGATTTTATTCTCTGCCAATATCATCGCAATTTCCTTCTGTTTGTTTTTTGGAAAACGACGAGCGGCAGCTCTTCATGAGCAACTTGTACGTTATAGACACCGTTGGAAAACGACAAGCGGTAGCTCTTCATGAGCAACTTGTACGTTACTTTTTGAAAACGACAAGCGGCAGCTCTTCATGAGCAACTTGTACGTTACTTTTTGAAAGCGCCGAGCAGCAGTTCTTCACGAGCTACTAGTGCGTCATTTACTTTTTGAAAGCGCCGAGCAGCAGTTCTTCACGAGCTACTAGTGCGTCATTTATTTTTTGAAAGCGCCGAGCAGCAGTTCTTCACGAGCTACTAGTGTGTCATTTACTTTCTGAAAGCACCAAGCAGCAGTTCTTCACGAGCTACTAGTGCGTCATTTTATTTTTCTGAAAGCGACAAGCAGCAAACTCTTCATGAGTTACCAGTACGTTACTACTTTTCTGGAATACAACAAGCGGCAGCCTCTTTATTTGAGCAGCTTGTATGTTATCGGTATTTTCTTTGGACAACAACAAGCGGCAGCTTCTTTATTTGAGCAGCTTGTATGTTATCGGTATTTTCTTTGGACAACAACAAGCGACAGCTTCTTTATTTGAGCAGCTTGTATGTTATCGGTATTTTCTTTGGACAACAACAAGCGGCAGCTTCTTTATTTGAGCAGCTTGTATGTTATCGGTATTTTCTCTGGACAACAACAAGTGGCAGTTTTCTTTATTTGAACAATTTGCGTATCTACAATCTTATTACTTCAGCATTAATGAGTATATCTCTGAAAATCTAGCAGAGAAGTCTGTTACGAATCTATACCTCTAGAAGTCAGTAATCAGTTGTCAGCAATTTGATACTCTCTGTCTACCCTCGACCTTGAGTTGCGGGCTCACTGTTTTGGATCAATGATCTGTTATGGCCTATGCAAGAGGCTCTCTTTGTTAGGGTTAGAGGTCGTATTCCCTCAATTTTATTCGCTGTCAGGAGTCTGTCGTTTGAAGTCGATAGCTTGTTTCCCCAGTAATGTATAATCCATGCCGCTGTGTTTTGTTGGTGTTCGATTCCCCCAACATTGTCTTGTTTCACACAATATCTTTCTCTGTGAATTCAATCACTACATTCATATCAAACATAATGGCGGTATCTTAGGGCAAAAATTGCGTATTATGTATTTAAGTACCTTCAATCTCGTCGAGACGAAGATTTTAATCTTCATATCTCCGGATAGAAGAAACTTAAATAGGGGCAGCTGTTGTACCCCAATTTTTGACCTAAGATCCCACCTCCCATCTGCATTATTACATAGCAAGCGTTCACAAACGATTCGACCTATTTTTGCCACTTCTCGGGTCAGATTTCAAAAATTCATAACTTCTTCAAATTTCGACATTTTTGAGAGGTTGTTTTTGCACATGATTTTCCTTGACATCATCCACAACTTTTCTTTGTAAATCAAGGGAAAATTATGCATTAAAAAAGCCATGAAAAATTGTTGACGTTAAAAGTTGTTTTGTGAATTTGGTGAAATTTGGGTTCGACTGTGTTTTATTCATGATTTCTTTTCCATTAAAAAATTGCAAAAGACGCACTTAACATGTGTTATTATTTTTATTTATTTATTTATAATTTTTTTATTTTTTTTATTTTTCTTTATTCAAAATATAAAAAATATGGTCTTTTATTAATTCTATTTAAATTTATGTTTGTATCACTTTATTTGAAAAATCTAAAAAAATATGTGATTAGCGTCATCTTTATTTTAGTTGTATTTTACATCCAGAAAATCTCAAAGAAAAAAAACATATAGTTAATACCATTTTCATTTATTTACATTTTTATTTCTTTAGTCATTATAATTTTAGTTCCTTTTTAATTTTGATTTAGTTCTAATATTAATTGAATTTCTTAAATTGAATTATTATTATTACTAATTACTTTTTTGTTTGTGTCTCTTATTTTAATTTTTTTTTGTACTTTTAGTTTAGTTGTCATTAACAATCTCTTTTTTGGTTAATTATTATTACTATTTTTTTCTTGCTGTTAATTTTTGTTCTATCCAATTTTGCTTCAACTCTTGTCAAATCTTCCCACAAATCTGTTACTGTCATACTGCAAAAATTTGCACCATAATACATCCAAGAAACTTACATGAGAATGGCATTTTTTTCAAAAAAAAAAGAATAAAGCAAAAAAGTCATACTATATTTCCTCTATCTATAGAATAAACTTCAACCTCAGTCAAAAAAAACCACAACGGTAATAACCCCTTTGAATTTCTTCACAAACCTTCTAACTCCCATAGGACCCCTCTCTTCACATTCATATACATCACCAACCATTTGTTCTAGATAACCCATCACCTTCAGTAACAAAAACTCTCCAAAAATTAGCAACAATCTTCATCCAAGTTTCAACTTTGTCCATCATTACAGAAGCAAACAACAATAAACACCGATGCCGTAACCTGCATAATATATACCGCTGCTGCTGTCTCAAGCCAAAAAAAAAAACCTTGAAAATAATCTTGGAACCAGATCCTTCAACATCGCATCTTCGCCAATCACAACCTTAACCTCAGCAACACACTGCCTTAACAACAACAATCTCGATCATGCTCTTTCAAATCTTGTACTTCGTGCTACAAAATCAAGAACCGGTTTCCATTCTGGTTGTCGCTGCGGAATTTACGGGTTTTTTTGACGAATCCGCATAACAGAAACGACATCCGCCGCGCCGGAATCACGCACACACAGCCCAACTGGACCTTCTGTACTCCTTCCGCGAGGATCAGAACAGCCGCACCGCGAGCCAACCGACAAACTCCATCAACACAACTCAATAACATAACCCGCAAAACTGTATGCATCAGAAGCGGAAATTGTATAAGAAGAGAAAAGAGTGTTAACATCGTACCTGAACCATTTGCCGCGTTGGATTCATCATCAGAAAACTCTTCTTCTCCACCGGTAATCTCTTCTGTTTCACTTCGTCTTTTTTAGATTGTTTGGTGTTTGCGTGTTGCTGTTTATTTGTTTATATGGATATGTTGTTATTAATCTGTGTTCAATAAACCAAGATTTGAAACAAGAGAGTTCTTTTGTTGTTGTTGAGCGATGAAGAGGAAAGGATGCGATTAAGAAGAAAGAGAAATCTTATCTGTGCTGAATTCGGTAGATGGTCAAGAGGAAGGAGATGGTGGTGTTGATGCGTTTGGGAGAGAGATAACCGTTAGTTTTATTTCTCCAAGATTTAACCTTTAATTTATTTTAATTGGGGTATTAAGAGATTAATAAGGAGGACCAAATCCCTTCACTTTTTTCTTTGTTTTATTAATAATAATAATAATATAATAATTCTTTTCTCTCTTCCCAACATAATAATAAATATAATTTTTTTTCTCCCTTTTCCTAAGCAGCCGCCGGCGCCCTCTTAACCTAATTAGGTTACATCACTTTTACTCCTTCCCTTTTTTTGACCCGGTGGCCCATTGGGCCCAATTTAATCAATTTCAATTCCCATTTTTTCCTTTATGTTCTTATTAACTCATGCTATTAATGAATAAACAATATTAGCTCAATTGGTAAAAGGTGTTAGCAGCATTCTATATGTCCTGGGTTCAAGTCCTTGTTGGGACACTTTTCTATCTTTTACCTTTTATTTCTTTTGGCCATAATATTTAACATACTTAATAATATTAATTTAATTTGTTGTTTAATTAGTAACTATTAGAAAAAAAAAACATAAAAATGTTCAATTAAAATTTATCTTTATTTATTTTGTCAACATACTATTTAATTCTTATTTTTATTTTGTCAACATACTATTTAATTCTTATTTTTATTTTGTGTTGTTGTCTATTTAATTATTCAAAAATATATGTTTCATGATTTAATTTTTGCCATGTGTTTAATTATCAAAAAATCTATGTTTTCTTAATTTAATCTTCATGTATTTTTTTATTATTTATCTAATTTTTAAGATGCATGCTAGTATGATTTAAATTTCATTAGTTAATTGTTTAATTATAATTAATCATTAATCCGCATATCTTTCGTCCGTTTCAATCCAAGGGAATTGTCTAATTTTTTTGTCGACTTTATGTCATCGAAAAAACATCGTGCGAATACCCTCATTCATTAAAAACATAGGATAATTTTTTCGAAATATTCAATTTTCAAAACTCACACCTTTTAAGCCAAAACTTCGACATTAGGTCGTCGTACCTTCAAAAACCCGTCCGTACCCCTTTTCGGCCAAAACGATTTATTTTTAATCAAACGATCAATTTTAATAAACAGATATTTCAAAAGGTTCCTATAGAGTACTATAGATACATTGGGTGCTAATACCTTCCCATTGTATAACCAACCCTCGAACCATAGATCTTTTCAGAAACGCCTTGTATCTTTATTACTTTTAAAAAGTATTATTTACATTGCATATTTAGGGTTTTATTTCGCTCTTTCCCCTTTTCCCTTGGAAACAATAAAGCGCGGTGGCGACTCTTGCTTTTGTGAGACGAGTTAATCAATAATTCGATCTCCGATTTACCCCGCTACATTTTTTATCGCTACAAATCCTACAGATGAATTGCCAATAAGGTGGTTGAAAAATGGCCCGGATAGGGTCCCCAAGAACATGTCTACCAGCTCGCGGTCTGTTAACGGAGGCTGCACCCTGCCAGCCAGATCCCTCCACTTCTGTGCATACTCTTTAAAACCTTCGCTTGATCCTAGCGACATACCCTGGAGTTGGGTACGTGTAGGAGCAAGGTCGGCATTATATTGATACTGCTTGTAAAAAGTAGTAGCCAACTCCTCCCAGTTACGAACCTTGGTCCCATCCAGCTGATAGAACCATTCGAGATGAGTCCCTGAAAGACTCTCCTGGAAGAAGTGGATCCACAAGTTCTTATCCACTGTGTACGGTTGAATCTTCCGCACATAAGATCTGAGGTGTAGCTTGGGGCAAGACGCCTCGTCATACTTGGTGAAAGATGGTGCCTTAAACTTGTGAGGAATGATCACACCAGTAGATAAGCCCAAGTCTCCGAAATCCAGCCCAGGCACTTGTTGAATTTCCATGGCGTTCAGTCTGTCTTCCAACTGCTTGTACTGGTCTTCAGCCGGAGGATACTGTTCCTCATTAAAGTCAGTCTCGTTGTCAGAGACTACCGGACTTGGAGCCTTGCCCCCCTGGGGACTGTCTTTGCCTACAGAAGAACCAGCTTCCTCATTCTGCAGAGTATTACCAAACCTCCGGCCCGAGTTGAAAATAACAGTTCTCTTCTTCTTCTTCTCCTTCTTCAGGAGCAAAGCCTTTAGCTCTTCTTGGCCTTGAGCCAAACCCATGATCAGCTCTTGAAATTGTGCGTTCTGCGCCTGAAGGGCCTTGATAGACATTTCGGTTGATGATTCAGGGTTCATGATGCTGAAATAAACAGCGAAGAACAGTAAGCAACCTGAAAAGAAGAGTACGTGCTATGCACATGATGAATGGAATGCGTATGATTTATGTTTTCAAAGACAATCAGGAATCAACTTTGCAAACAAAAGAACACACTTCATTAGATTCAACTTTGAAATTTAAATTGTTCAATAGGTTGCCCTTAGGCGTTACATAAAATGGAAATACTGAAAAGGGAAATAAAACTGTAAAAGAACATCCACAACTCATCATTGATCCCAGGGTCTCCTCTTCTCAGTACGGATGTAGTCATTCAGAGCTCGCTCATTCTCCAACTGCTTTGTCAGCTTCTGGATCTTCAATTCCTGCTCGTTGAACTTTTCCCGATAAGAATCCCGTTCTTCTCGCAGTTGCGACCAAGACCTCTTTAATGTCTCATAATCAGTAGGTATCTGAGGAGGGAGGACAGTTGGAGGAGCCCCATCTTTGTCAGGATACTCAAGAATGATGGGTCTGGCAGCTTCGTACGGCATACCTAACTTCTGAGCACGGATGCGAACCCATTTGTAGTAGGCTTCCATAGGTAGAGAAGTCTTTGGCCCCAACTCTTGTGGGTCAGCTTTATGAACTCTGTCCCAAGCTTTGATGAACCTACGACGCAGCTCGTCACTATCCACCTGAAACTCAAAACTGATGTGAGGCACCAACATCTCATGAGGCCCTGCTCTTCCGGCCCTTCCAAACTGACGGAGCGCTAGACATGGATTGTAAGAGATTCCTCCTTGAGTACCAATCAGAGGAACATTAGGGTATTCTCCGCAACGATCAATAATAGCTATCTCATCCAAACCTCTGAGAGTCCAAATGATGTCCTTATCAGTGAGAGACATTAACCTGTGAGCCCAACCTCTTCCTTCTTGGTTCTTCAGCACGAACTTAGGGAGGTGCGAAATAAACCACCTCACCAACAAAGGGATACAACACCACAGAGTTCCTCGTCTTCAGGCAGTACGAGCATAAAGTTGTTGCAGGATGTCACCCAAGAGAGTGGGCATAGGATTTTGAGACATGAAGATCCTTATGGCAGTGACATTGATGAAGTTGTCAGGATTAGGAAACAAGACTAGCCCATAGATTAAGAGAGCCAAGATGTCTTCATATGCCCTAAAGTCCAAGTCATTCCAGAAACTGTTAGCTTTACCAACCAGAAACTTGGCCAAGAAACCCTTAACTCCGCTTCTAGTCACCCAGTTGTCCATTACTTCTTGATGGGTCAAGGGAAGAGCTGCAGCAACCTCCTCAAGCCTAAGAGTCTTTTCCCAACCAGTGAAGGGAGTCTGATCCAAGATAGGGATACCAAGCAAATCAGAGAACTCTTCCAGGGTAGGGACCAGCTGGAAGTCTTGAAAGGTGAAGCACTGGTACAAAGGGTCATAGAACTGGGTCAGGACACTCATCAACTGTTGATCCCGCTTTGCAGTGACTAAACTGAGAAGAGAACCATGCCTCTGGATGAAGGAAGTGGTGTTTGGAATTCTGCTAACCAATTCTTCAAGTAACTCAGGTGGGTGAACAAAGTTGAACCGGATAGTATTCCTTCGCATAGGCATCATGATGTCCTACAAAACAGAGCAAAGGTGAAACCCTCTTGTCTTTGAAATGGTCAGCCCTTATGCAGGATGCATGCAATGCTCATGATGTTATGATGTTATGATAAATCACACCACAAATATTTATAAAGGCAAACATGATAAGGCACACAAGTCACACAAGACAAGCCCCTTAAAGTTTAGGCTAGCATGAGGTCTAGGTATTACCCTCTTTCAGTTTGTTGGTTCATACCTGTCCTATCAAAAGTAACCGGGTTCTAGAGGATCCCAATATCACTGACTACCCTCAATCGGTCATAACTCCAGCATCGCAATCTTTTCTTGCGGCCAGAACCATCACGAGAGTTTAGCCTCAATGGGCGTAGCATACTGCTACTGTTCTATTGGCCAAGTTGTGTCATTTAAGGTTCTAAGGTCTGTTGGTGCTTAATGACTCCTCAGAATACCCATATTCTCCTCGTTGCGACACAAGGGATATCGGTACAGACCAAGGCGCCACACCAACGTAGCCACTGCTTCACCCATGTCGGTCTACGCCGGACAGGTCCCTCACAGCTTATGCTACCTAAATAGGGTATCCCCAGATCCGGGTTAGGATCTATGTAACTCCCAAGACAGTCCCACAATGATAAAGCAAACAAGTCAAAGCAATTGAAAACATAGTTATGAACTATCCTAAGGTACACCTCACTTTATAAGTTTATTCCCCAGCAGAGTCGCCAGTTCTGTGATCGGTGGATCTGGAACTGACTGTTTAACGCTGGTTCGCGAAATGTCGCGGAAGCAAGAGTCGCCACCGTCTTTTATTTTCTCCAACATGGAAAGGACAAAAGCACAGAAAAATTCCTTATTGAGATTAGTTCTCGGTTCGGGAGGTAGATTTATAGAAAGG